CACCCCCACCCCACCCTCCTCCCCTGCCTGGTAAGATTTCTAAATCACAGTAATGTTCAGAGAGAGAGAACTGCCAAGGGGGTGGCAGAAAGATGCTTAGCGCCCGTCTACGATGCCTCTAACAGAAGAGCTTGAGAAAGCAGTTCTGGCAGTAGGGCTTGTCGTTCTGTTCTTTGAAGGTTCCTTTGTTGAGCTGCTTGAGGCAGAAGGCACAGACAAAGTGTTCAGGGTGAAATTTCTTGCCCATAGCAGTGATGCAGCGTCCTGTGATAGGCTTCTGGCAACCGGAGCAGAGCGAGCCGCGACGCTCGTGGTAATGCACCTCACAGTAGGGCTGCCCGTCATGCTCAAAGAAGCTGCCATTGATGAATGGTGTGAAACATTCCTGCAGGAGGATAAAGCAGAAGGGGACAGATTGTATAAGAAGCTGGGGATGCAGGCAGCTCCACAAGCCCCCTCTGCTCTGTGGCACAGCCTAGCTGTACTGCAAGCAGGGTGAATTGCTGCCTTTCAGCATCGTCCTGTTGTCCAAAGAGCCAAGCTCTGTCCATCAAGAACAGTTTCCATGGAAAGGCTGACAGATGGACAGATACAGCCACAAGCAAGGGAATTAACCATGCTCTTTCCCCCAGCTGGTTTCACTTCTACAAAGAAAATACTACAGATGAGCTACGAGATGTGTCCAGCCAGGAGAAAGGAGAACACTCCTTCCCCTGAGATGGGAAACACTGCAGCACCTTTCCCTTTTTTTCTTTTTTAATCTCACTCCAGCTTCCCCACAATGGCAGGCAGAAGCAGGGACCAACACAGACTTTCATGCAGCAGAATTCTGATGAATGTGGGACTGGTTCCAGCTGAGAAAATGAGGCACAATTAATCTTTATAAGTGATCTCTCCAGAATGGCTGGCATTACGCAGGTACACTTTGCACAGGGTCATCCATCCTGAAACATCTCCACCAGGTACACACACATCGCTACCGGGAGAAACTGTTTGTTCTACAGTGCTAATGATTTTGAATAGATGAGGAGAAGAGGATACACCAGCTATGTGGTTATTAGTGTCCAGAGCTCCTCACTCCCGCTCTGTCAGGCAGCTGAGGATGCTACACTTCAGAACCTGCAACAGAAGCACTCACCATCCCCATAAGACTGGGGAGACTACCCTCCTTGTATGAGTGGGAAACTGAGGCAGCAGGGTGTGGGGGAGAGTCGAGGATACTGCCAGATTTACCGAACAGATCAGCTGCAAGGCCCAGAGGAGAAGCCAGATTTCCAGAATCCTGGTTTTGCTCAGCCCCAATGCCACCCCCTTCCCCAGGGAGAACACACAGTACCACACAGAGCTGGACCCCAACATGTACACAGGAGTCCAGCAAACAACATGCAGAGCCATGGAGAGCTAAACACTCTCAATATTGGGACGAATACAGTTTGCCTGCAGCAAGTCCAAGACTTTTCTGATGCTGACAATTAGTTCAATAAACAGTCTCTTCCCTCAGTCAGCAGGACATCTGAAAAGCCTGCTCTGCTTTAGCAAAAACAGGAAGAGAATCCCATCTCGTGTCCTGTAAGAATTCAGTGCTAGCCCCACCACTACAGGCAGTGTGGCAGCAGGGGGAAATGAAAGCACAACCGCTTGATCGAATTCTCAACCTCTGCACAAAAAGGCACAGCCCTCCCCAGCCCCACACAGTCAGGACTGCCATCTTCTGCCTCCACTCTCTGCACACCACTCTGGGAGCCACAGATAGATCTGGGCAGGCAGTCCCAACAGCATGGCGACAGTCTGCTCTGAGCATCGTACCAGGAATCAACAGCTTGTGGTTCTGCTGCTTGCTCTGGTCTCTGCCTTTCTTTCCCACTCTAGGAAACACTGGCTGATTTTGCTTATCTCTTGGGGCCTGTGAGAGTTAATATTTGCAAGGCTCTCTGAAAGAGTGCCAGGCATTTAATCTGCAGTATTCCTGTTTATTATGCTTGTTGTATGGAGCCTGCCCTATTTCACCGACTTGCATGTTTGTCTGAACAAGGTCAGTCTCATTAGTTTACATTGTCAGATGGAGCATGGGAGGAAGATCCTCAAAATCTGATTGCTGAGGCAAGTGCTTAGAGAGAAGCTCAGCTTATAATTATTTAAAGGTCATAGAAAATGTCTCTGTTTATCTGTGAGCTGCTGCAGAAGCCCATAATTGCAGCTGGGAACAGAAAGAGCAAAGCAGCTAGAAAGTTTAATGTAAACAGGCAGAGGAACAAGAAGGTGTTTGGTTGCTGACATGTTTTTATCTTGTGGGGCTGGCTGCCCTTCACTACCCCACAGACGCCTCTTCCTGATAAGGGACCAGATGCCTGCAGGCTGGAAATGAGAGGGGTCGTACAGCAGCAGCAAAGGACCTTGGGTTTCTTACCCGACAGACAAAGCATTCAGGGTGCCACAGGGTGTTCAAGGCAGAGATGTAGTTTTCCAGGATAGCCCGGGCACAGCCTCCACACTTGGGAGCAAACATATCAAAGTAGTCCTTGCGGCAATAAGCTTTGCCATCCTTCTCATGAAATCCTGCCAAAGGAGAAGAGAGGCAAAGAGCATCAGCGCCTGATCTTTACCTGTGGCCAGCCAAGCTCTGCAGGGCAACCACATTCTTCCCCCTGCTAACACATACAGCAGGTAGCTGTTCCTTGTTCTGCTGCCCTCCCTGTCCCACGCGCACACAGGGACACGCATACCCTTCCTCTCCACAGAGAAAAGACTACTGCTAGCATCCTTCCCCTATAAACAGCTATATCGCTCGAAACTTCCATCTTCAGTAGTTCCCCTGCCATCTCGCAGGCTGTCCCCTAATAGCAGCTCTGCCTCACACACTTGTCTGCAGTTCAGGGAGGAGATTGCATAAACCAGCAGTACCTTCAGGTCCGAAGAAAGCTCCACACTGGGCACAGAAAAAGTGTTCAGGGTGCCATGTCCTGTCCAAAGCCGTCACCACTTTCTGTTCAGAAGAAGACAAAGTGCAAGTCATATAAATGATGGCTTCAGCTTGGAGGTAAGGGGGGGTTGGGTGGGGGGAAGTACATATTAATGTTGGTAGTGACAAGAGCGTGCATTAAAATAGACTGTCCTTTAGAGAGCTGAGTCAACTTTCCCCTGCCTCTGGCTCACTCAGGCTTTCCCCACTGCACACTTTTTTTTTTTACCCTAAAAGGATCTTGCGTACTGCTTCCTCCCTTATACAGAACCCTGTCCAGCTCTTAGGACTCGCACTGGCGCCTGTTACGACAGGCTACAGACAAATGCTGAGGAATCACTACCGGAATGATGGAGCGATGTGGGGTTCTGAAGGAACTTCACCGAAGGTAAGAGGGACTAACTCCTCTCACTAGTGTAAAAATTTGACTGGGCCAAGTTGTTTCCCTTTCAGAGCCAGGGCAAAGGAAAAATAGAAGCCCCCAAACAAAATTTTCCACCCAGGACATGTGGGTGAAGTGGAGTTTTTAACACCCAGGCCTGCAGCACCTTGCCATCGCCCTTAATCCCCCCAAGGAACTCACATCAAGGATCGGCCCATTGCAGTAGTAGCAGCGAGGGGAGAAGAGGTTGTGATAGTCCTTCTCGCAGTAGGGCTGACCGTCCCGCTCAAAGAAGTTCCGTGACCCGATCTCCTCCTGGCAGTGGGTGCAGACGAAGTGCTCAGGGTGCCAGGTTTTCCCCATGGCTGTAACTACCTGTTGGGAAGACAAATTATGAAGGACAACTCTATCTCCCTCTCCCTTAGACCACATGACAAGATACCAGCTGGAGGTCAGCAAGAATGACAAGTTCTACTACTCAAGTGAGCCCTGGACTGGGGTAGCATGAAAACTGAATTACCTATCATCTCAGGAGAGGGCAGTCCCTCAAGGGCAGGGTAGAGGTCACTGGAGGAGCTTACAGCGTACCTAGCCAGTGGATAAATAGAGTACTTCAGTTTCTCCAGCATCTCCAGTCTCTTCAGCCTCACGAAACAGCCCTCCCCGTTACTCCCAGCTGCAGCCCAAGATTCAGCAATGAGCCAGCACCTTCAACTCACCTGCCCAGCAATAGGCTTCTTGCAGGCTCCGCAGACACCTTTGGCAACTGTAGCTACACCCAGTTTGTTCAGGTCAGACTGGAGACTTCCCAGCATGGTGTCCAGCTGACTGCCAGGCTTGGAGGCTGTGGATGGAGGGGAGCTGCTCCCAGCTTTCCCCTGCGCCATGAACTGCAGGGAAGAGAAAACAAAGACTGTAAGGCGAGTGCTGCTGTGCTTACAAGATAAATGCCTGCTGTTGCTGCCAGTGGCTCCTCTGTAGAGACAGACAGGAGATTGCTAGGAGACAGCTACACTCTCTGCAGAAGCCAGTGAGAGCCAGCATCAAGTACACACATGCATGCTGCCCATGCAGAGACATGCAGAGACCCTGCCATATATAACAGCAGAGCTGTGAACCGAGGATTTGATTTTCCTTCACTGCGCATATAGAAGTCACCAGCCGATCCCAAGCAGTCAGTACAGTGCTCTCTAAGCCTCTGCCAAAAATCTCCCTTTACTTCATCAGTTCCTGGCCAGCTGACAAAGCAGAGATGCCGTCCAGAGGGCCCCTTCCCCTTGACCTCTCTCTATTTCTATGCTGTTGCTCTCTCTCAGTTATCACTCTTT